ACCACCATTTATATATATATATATATATATATATATATATATATATATATATATATATATATGTGTGTGTGTGTGTGTGTGTGTGTGATAAACATATTTTTACGGTATGCTACATTTATGGGTAAAAAGGTTCACTATCAGTATGTGTGGTAAATATATAAGATCAACATTGAACGGCGTCCGTCTCTTTCAGACTTGAACAAAATCTTCTGGACATTTGTTGTGTGTGTGACCTCACCTCTTTATAGATGCTGGTCATGGTGCATTATGTGTAGCAAGGTCTATTGTATAATCATAACGGTTATTAGGTAGGGGATAATGATTATTCTTCAAATTATTCTAAGGATTATTGAATAGAGATAATTCTTCATCCAAATGCGATTATTTGCAGCGATTTCATAAAGATTTTTGTTAACTTTTCACTCATTTTTTATTTATTATTGATTACTTATTTATTTGTTGTTGATTCTTATTACATTTATTTGTGTTTATATGTCGATTCGTACTTTGATAATTCGTTCATTATTTACTTAATTTGATTGTTTATTTATATTTTTGTTTCTTTTAATATTTTTCGGGGGCTGATAATCTTCTTTGTTCAGTTTAATGTATTGATTTTGTCTAAAATATCTTACATTATCTGCGTTGTATATAATGCATCAATGTGAATTTTTCATGCTGGTATTTTACAGGATATTCGTTTTAGTTTTCGATTTTAAAATAACGTAGTAAAACTCAGAGATAGATAGATCTGAAATCTTACTTATTATAAAACGCAGTTTGTGTGTGAGTGTGTGTGTGTGTGTGTGTGTGTGTGTGTGTGTGTGTGTGTGTGTGTGTGTGTAACATTTATATATTGGATCTGATTTCCTACATTTTTAGCCGATTTCAACAAAATTTCACAGGACTACATAAAATTACCTTGGGGCGGTTCTAACAGCGCCGAAAATAGGAAAAATACAATTGTTTTTTAACAAAATCAATTTGAAAAGTCGATTAAGACACATCGTGAGAATAAAAGGGGGACAACTCCCATCGTGTTAAAAAACCCACGTTGTTTTTTTTTTTTTTTTTTTGTGTGTGTGTGTGTGTGTGTGTGTGTGTGTGTGTGTGTGTGTGTTCCTTTATATATGGGATCGGATTTCTTACATTTTTCAGCTGATAAAACAAACATCCACTTTTTTTTTTTTTTTTGGCAGGTAGTGTTTCTTATTGTCTTGCACACTTTTTTTCTTTATTTATACATTCAGAATGCTTTAAAATTCCATTTACAAGACAATTGTTTATAATAAAATTCTATTCAATCCGGAGACTCATCATAACGATTGAAAACAATGTTTTTGTTTGAATTTGTGTTTGACCAATTCGTAAAAAAAAAATAAATAAATAAAAAAACTAAGATATGCGTGTCCGTCAACCTAAACAATAATCTAACGATCTCTACTGATTGTACGAATCGAAACATCGGATAATTTTTTATCTTTAGGGAAAGATAATTCCACGTACTTTAGGGCCGTTTTTACAATTCCCTTTGCAATTTGTTACAAGGCAGATCAATAAGGCATTGATTCTATTTGAAATTAATTCAATATTTAAAAGAAAGTATTAAGAAATAATTTAAAAATGCTGACGTAAGAAATCTGATAGACAAAAAACAAGAATATTTCGAAGATGATAATTATTAAGGAAAGAACACAGTACTTACCTTGTAATAAATTAATAAACCCAAATAAAGTTAATATTTTTTGTATTAAAAACAACGAGTGGAAAATATATTCAAATCAGGATTCTATTTATGAATCACCACAAGCAAAATATGCAATTTTTTTTACTGTATTCAATAAGTAAAAATCATAAATTGTAAAACTAAAAGATTACAGAAAGGCTAACTACATTTTTCAACCGATTTCAACAAAACTTCACTTTTTTTTTTGGCAGGTAGTGTTTCTTATTGTCTTGCACACTTTTTTCTTTATTTTTAAATTCAGAATGCTTTAAAAATTCTATTTACAAGACAATTGTTTATAATAAAATTCTATTCATTAATCGATAGACTCATAACGATTGTAAACAATGTTTTTATTTGAGTTTGGGTTTGACCAATTCGTAAAAAAAAAAAAAAATAATTAAGACATGCGTGTACGTCAACCTTAAACAATAATCTTTGTCAATTTTATTTTTCAGTCTTTATGATGGTCGATACTTGATGTATCTCTTACTGTTACATCCCCGGGCAATGCCGGGCTCTACTGCTAGTTACTAATATATACGAAGGGACTTGTGTAGATAGATAGATAGATAGATAGATAAATAGATAGATAGATCAGAAATTACTGATAAATATGAAGGGACTGAGATAGATAGATAGATAGATAGATAGATAGATAGTGAAAGAAAGGCAGAAAGAAAAAGAGTGAGAAAGAAAGATAAACAAATTTGACTTCATACATGATATGAACGTGCTCTGAATCTTGTTTTTTTATCATTCTTATGTGAGCATCATCTGTCTGTCGCTATCCTTCCTTTGAAAGTAAATATTGACGTAGGTTTCTTTCCCAAACAATCTTGCCTGAACATACAGTCGCTATGTTTTCCTTCTTGTCTTCCATGTACCATTTTATTGCACACACATAAACACACACACACACTCATATATATATATATATATATATATATATATATATATATATATATATATATATATATATATATATGAACAATTTTCCATATTCTTTTTAATTTCATTTTATTTCATCCTATGAAATCTTTTGTTTTTCTTCTTAAAATCGGAGACACACTCCAAAGCTCATCAACTATACAAGTTCAGTTTTTTTCTGATTTGTAAATAAGAAAGATGTCGGCTCTCTAGTTATCTCCCTTTGTTAATAAATTCTTCATAATATTTATTCTTTTTGACTTAATATTTCTTTTTTCCCCCTCTCGTTTTGCTTTTTCTTTCATACTTCTTCAAATTAATTTTGTCTGTCTTTGCTTTACACTTATTTCATATTTCTCCTGTTTTTTTTTCTTTCACTTAATATTACTTCTTATTATTAATCCTCTACCAATCGCCTTCCTCTTCCCACATTTATCTCTTGTTTCCCTTTTACCATTCTCTTTTATTTGTTGATATCTTTCTTTCTTTCTTTCTTTCTTCGTCTTCTTCTTCTTCACCGTTGAATGTTTTATATTCCTTTCTCTTGAATTTTTGTTTACTTTCCTTTTTTTTTTTTTTGCTTTCAATTAACCCGTCTTTTTCCTTGTCCTCATCATTGCTTAATATTTCTTTTTTTCTTCTTACCCCAACGTTCTTTTACATCACTTTCATATCTCTTTCTTTTTCTTCTTTATCACTCATTCACTGTTTAATATTTTTTCTTCTGTCCTGAATGTTCTTTTATTTCTTTTTCATTTCACTTTTAGTTCTTCTTCTTCTTCTTCTTCTTCTTATTATTATTATTATTATTCTGTTCATTGATTATTTTTTTTCTTCACTAATTTTTAATATTTCCTCTTCTTTTTCTACTTCTTTTTTCTTGTTCTTTTCTTTCATAACTTTTAATCCTTCTACTTTGTTTTTTCTTATTATTATTATTCCTCTTCCTCTTCTTCTTTTTCTTCTTCTTCTTCCTCTTCTTCTTCTTTTTCTTCTTTTTCTTCTTCTTCTTTGCTTAATATTTCTTTTATTTCTTCGCTCCTAAAATTTCTTTCACTACTTTTTCATATATTCCTTTTTCTTTGTTTCTTTTCTTCTTTTTCATATCACTTTTAATTCTTCTTCTTTTGCATTGCTGAATATTTTATTTATTTATTTTTCTCGAAAACTCTTTTACTTTTCATGTTTCTTTCTGAGCACTTTTTCTTTGTCCTCTTCATTGTTTAGTATTTACCTTTCTTTTTCCCCAATGGCCTTTTACTTCCTTTTCATATCTCTTCTTCTTCTTCTTCTTCTTCTTCTTCTTCTTCTTCTTTATAACAACATTCTGAATAAGAACAATAATGAAGGGTGAGTTTCCATTCTTATAGCCAAGTTTGGAAAATTGTTTTTTTTTTTCCCAATAATGTATTGCTTTTAATGTTGTTTCTCTTTACTATTGAAATGTATTGCTGGTAATTTTTTTTCTAACGTAATTTCATATTTTCGTTTTGACACCAATTATGGGGGTTCACTATTTGCCCATAGCGGGGAACATAACAGGTGCTACCATGATAGCTCAGGTTGGACCTGGGAACAATAGCAATTAAAAGGTGAAAATTAAAAGTACTCAGAAACGCATCTCAAAAAGTGTAGATTATTGCGAATTAATACACCCCGGAAACAAATAGATTAGATCTCATGACACGAAAAGATATCGCAAACTGGATCCATTATAGTGACATTATTAATGAGCATAATTAATGACATTATTAATGACATTACTAATGAGCATTATTAATGACATTATTAATTAGCATTAATAATGACATTAATAATGAGCGTTATTAATGAGCATTATGTTAATTATGTTCTTATCGTTTAACGAATGTCAACTCCTCACAGCCCAGTTTGATTTAGGCCGCAATTGGTTGTTTGATTTTGTTTAGTGGCATATCAACACCTCTATGGGGTATTTAATGCGGAAATCTAAATATTTTGTACGGAATTTTATGGCTTCCCCTAAATGTATTTTGAATGCAATTTCATGCTTTCAAATACAGAGTGATTTGTTTGTTGGTTGATTTTGTTTAACGGTATATCAACACCTCTATGGGTTATTTAATGCCGAAATCTAAATATTTTGGTAAAAAATTTTAATTTATTTTTCGAGATAATAATTTTATTGTTATACAAGTTTTACTAATTAACCCATAGCTGGGGAAGTATGTGTATTCATACCTTCCTCAAGAGTATTTGCGCGTAAGTGAATGCAACAAACCCGACAGGAATATGGAACTCGGCTCTCCGATTAATAATTCTGAGTCATTATCCATTACACCACACACACATCCAAGGTTAATTCACTTAATGTTCACATGCAGTCACTCATCTAGGTAGTGAACAGACTCGAGGTTGCTTAACTTCGGGGATCGTACGGGAACCAGCATTTCTACATGATGTGACCGTAAGCCTAAGGTGTATTAAGTGGTGTAATTACGGTATATATGTCATTGATCAATCCCAAGTAATCGTATCCTACTCCAAAAGAATTTTGTAGTTGATCCTACAACAGCATATGAACTAATCATTAGTGATTTCTTTTACGGAAATTTGTCTAATCCCATCACGAATTGGACGAGGAGAAAACTAACCGATGTCTATTTGAACATTTCTTAGAATATACCCAGCGCAGATCTGAAGATATGGTCAGAGATCATTTAAATATTTCATACTGCATCCCAAACAAATATTCAATAAAAAAAAAATGTGCCCTACTCCCTCTGCCGAAACAAATATACTGATGATGAGGAAGAGTGGACTATACTAATGGCAAACGCACTTAAGAGCCGCTAGTGATTTACAAATGAGGCCACATATGGAGCAAGAGTAAGGATTATGGGATGAGATCACTGTTAGATTGGCTGACGTTCTAGATCTTGCTCTCGCTTCTTGAAGACGATTCAGACAAGCTGATTGAAAACTGCTGCGTCCACTAAAACACGTTTATTTCCATTCTACCCACCCTAAGGCTAAGCGCTCGAGGGTGTTTTGGGGTATATTGACAGCTGACAAGGTGCTCTTCAGCTTGAGTTTGTATCTTAGCCATGGGCGTCCTATATTCCTGTAGCCCTGATCCAACTGACTGTACATTAGGATCTTGGATATCCTGTCATCAGACATTCTCAAGACATGACCTGTCCACCGTAACTGAGATTGTATGAGAAAAGTTTCGATTCCTCCAATATTACACCTGTCAAACAGGTTTACGTTAGATGTCCTATCTTAAAGGTTAACTCCACAGATTGCACGCAAAGAGCTTTCATGGAAAACATCCATCTGGCGTATATAATAGGAAAGATTATACTGGTGGTATTTTTCATATATATATATATATATATATATATATATATATATATATACACCCTATTGTGTGGATACGTAACTATAGATAAGTTAGAGTTTTAAACCGCGAAGCTGAATAGTGCCTTTAAAATTGGTCAACGACACACTTTGTAGCCGAAAGGTTAAAAAAGGTGAAAGCACGTCAGATCTCTCTCTCTCTCTCTACAATATATATATATATATATATATATATATATATATATATATATATATATATATATATATAAAAGTGAACATAGAAGTCAACACTTAGGGGCGACAGTCTGTTTCATGCTATATGCAATCGTCAGGCATGAAATTTTCAAAGAACGAATATTTTCTATGAAAATTTATCGGACATTCAGGCCGGTAAATGTTATTTAATACTGTTTATCATAAACAGAGCATTTGCTTAAATACTTGTATCTATAAATAACAACGTTAAACATAAAAAAATGTCTTTAATATATATATATATATATATATATATATATATATATATATATAATTTTGGGGCTACAAGAGGAAATGACGCCTATCGATTAGTGCGCCGTATGTAAAACATATTTTTAATTTGTTTTTTATAATTTTCAACTGTATAAATTCGGATTTTTAGTTTCATATTATAAAATGTCGTAAGGAGATTTCGAGCTATGGTGGTTAGGACTATGTCGAGATGTGAGTGGCCATCACGATCCCCAGATATAACACCAGCAGTGTTTTGTTTTTTTTTTCTTGTGGGGGTGTAATGAAAAATCATGTTTACGGGTTCAAACCGAAATCAATTCCTTAAATAAAACAAGCAATTTCTTAAATCAATTTAGAAATGTTCCTGACAGATTTCAGCATTGTCTTGAACATTAAGGTGAGCATTTTGAACATGTTAAATACTTTGTTGATAATAATAATAATAATAATAATAATAATATATCATGTTGTTTTCATGTGACAATATTTTTAAATTTTCTAAACCTATTGTAATATATTTTTCTTCGATAAAAGTTAATAAATAAAAACGGCAGTTACATATGCCGTACTCTGTATGTAGTTCTTAATTTTAAATATGTTCATTACGTTTGTAATGTGGGAGAATATTTAAAGTCCTTTTAGTTTTCCATTTGGAAGATATGTCTGAGTTAGTACAAACACTGACAGTACACAGTTGAGACAAGTACATTATATATTCGCCTCTATAAAATGTACTTGATACACTCATTATAATTGTGGAGATATTGCTTTTTACGCAGACTTTTAGGTAAGTGTAAATCGCTTCCTGAAGACTTTGGATCATCAACTTCTTTTTCTTATAATGTTCTCACCTTATATCGTTTTTTCTTAATTTTCTCGATTTGTATCTATCATTTTTGAAATTGAGTCGTTTTTTTCTCATTAAATAATAGTGGAAAATTGTAGAACTGGTCATGACGTCTTGGCAGATGTGTCAGTAAAAATATAGTGGGCCGTTCTTTTTTCTACATTTTCGACCACACGTTTTCTTCTAATTCGATTAAAAAAAATTTTATTACCATTTTTCCATCAGTGGAGTTTCGATGTTTTACACAGTGTTTCTATCTGGGTGGGTTATTTATTTTTTCTTGTGCTGTTGTATTTATTTTTGTGGGAATGTTTCACTTTTTTCCCACATCAACATAAACGCGATTGTCGTAAAATTAAGGGTTTTTATCGAGCAAAAAATAAAATGAAACATGAATCTAAAAAAATGTAATAAACAGAGAAAGGAAGAAAGAAAAAAGAAAGAAAGAAGAAGGACTCAAGCAAATAAAGGAAGTTACTGTAAAAGAAAAAATAAAGGAATGAAAATTGAAAATAACAAATAATATAATACTGAGAAAGATTATGTATGAAGAAAGAGAGAAAGAAAAAAGAAAGAAAAGAGAAAAACTAGAGGAAGAAAAAAGTACAATAAGTATATATGTAGAAAGAAAAGAAAAGAAAAGAATGAGAAAGAAAAAAGAAAGAAATGAAAATAAAGAATGAATGTAATATACATACATATATAGAAAGAAAGAAAGGAAGGAAAAATAGAAAAATAAAGAAAGGAAAGAAAGAAATCAAATAAAGAAAGAATTAATATATATATATATATATATGTGTGTGTGTGTGTGTGTGTGTGTGTGTAGAAAGAAATAAAGACGGAATGAAAGAAGAAAATAGAAAATATATGATGGAAAGAAAAAATGAAATAAATAATATATGTGTGTCTGTGTTTTTGTGTGTAGAAAGAAAGAAGAAAATAGCAAAAGAAATTAAAATAAAGTAAGAATGATATATATATATATATATATATATATATATATATATATATATATATATATATATATATATATGTATGTATGTGTGTATTTTAATTTATAGAAAAACAGATCACTTAAAGGCTCCATTTGTTATAATTTATTTCACCAGTGAATTTTATTTTTCTCTGGATCTTCAGACTTTGCTTTCAAAGGTGAAAAGAAAAATGAATTTAAAATTGACACTTTTGACGGGTAGTATTAAGCTTATATAAGTTGACATAGAAGGTGGTGAGGAATAGTGTGAGAGATATAGTCGAGTTTAGAGAGGGAAGGGAGAGTTTTAAAACTTATTATTATTGGGATTATTCATACGGATTACCAAGATTTTCGTTACTTAAATACACACACACACACACACACACACACACACACACACACATATATATATATATATATATATATATATAGAGAGAGAGAGAGAGAGAGAGATTTTAAAGAAACAAAGAAAGAGAATAGAAGAAAATAAAACGAGAAGAATGTGAACAATATATAATACGAAAAAGCAGGAAAGAAATAAAATGGGATTAATAGAAAAAAAGTGAGAAAAATATAAAATAAATATGGGATAGAAAGGAAATGAGAATAAAGTGAAATATATAGTGGCTTGGTGTTGCAAGGATTCTGTCGTCGGTCGCTTTGTATGGCAGCTCGGGGGGGCGGCGGCCTTCAATAACCTCTTTCTTCTTTGGTGGAGGAGTACAAAGCGGCAGTTGTGAGATTGCAGTCCATGCTGTGTGAGTCTAGAGATGCTGTAATCGGGATGAATGTGCCAGAGGTGAATACAGGAAGAAAGTGGAAAGTGTCAGACATGATGTCAGCAGTGGAAGTGATGTTAAATTAGGCAGAAGTTCAAAGTGTTTCAAAGAAGGGACGTGCTGGACTTGGTCTAGTTGAGAGGGAGAGATTCTGGTCAGAGGCCAGTAGACAGGAGCCAGGCAAGTTACAGGAACAGGGGGTTCGAAAGCTCGAAGAGGAGAGACGTTTAGTGCGGACTGTCCAGCAGGATCGATGGCTTAACTGGGAGGATATTGAGTGTGTTCAGATCAGTTGGTCTGATTGATGGCGTCTAGGCACAGGACATTTGAGGTTCCTCGTACAGGCAGCATATGATGTGGCAGTATCACAGGCAAATTTGAAGAGATGGAGAGTGCAGATGTCACCCTCCTGCCGGTTGTGTGGTGCTTATGGAAACCTGCGCCACATACTGTCAGCCTGTCCCAATGCGCTACAGAATGGCTGCTACACCTTCAGACATAACATGGTTCTGGAGGTCGTGGCAGCAGCTGCAAGAAATGCTAATATACCCTCGTTGGACCTGCGAACGTTAGCCTTCCTGAAGCAAGGTGCGACTGTCACAAGGCAGAAGACCAGGTCGGAAAACTCAAGGAAGTGGAGAGTGATGGTTGATGCTACATTTCCAGTGGAGGTAATTGCGTCTGGTCTGAGACCAGATCTGGTTTTAGTTGATATTGAGTAGCAACATCTGTTGCTTGGCGAACTGACAGTAGCATAGGAAGAAGGGATTGAAGAGACGCATGAAAGAACAATTGCTTCGGTATGAGGAACTGCGGCCTCTTGATTCCTCAAGTGTGCTGGGATCCAAAAGCGGGATAAAGTAATAAAGTCTTATGGTGAAACAGCGGTGGAAGGAAGTGTATGGATTACCCAAAAATTCTTATCGAGTCGCATCCAACTAACATAGACCGTTTGCAACGTAACATCATCCATTTGTTGCGGGCCCTCCGTGTGGAAAGGTACTGAGCTTAATGGGC